GCGCTTCCCAAGCGGCGCACTATCCAGTGCGCCACCGGGCCGGCCCTCCTCCAGCTTCTTTCTGTGCCTGGTTTATTTCACTTGACATGATGGTCTTTAGTTCCATTCGTGTTTCTGCAAATAACAGGACTTCATTTTTTTAATATAATAGTTGAATAGTTAAATAGTATTGTGTATATATCACAGCCTTTTAATCCATTCTTCTGTCGATGGGCATTTAGATTGGTTTCCTGTCTTGGTTATTGTAAATAGTGTTGCAGTGAATATGGGAGGTTGCAGGTGGCCCTTTGATATATTGATTTCATTTCCTTTGGTTGTGTATCCAGTAGTGGGATTGCTGGGTCTTAGGGCAGTTCAATTTTTAGTTCTCTGAGAACCTCCATACTGTTTTCACAATGTCTGTACCAGTTTACTTTCCCACCAACAATGTAGGAGAGTTCCCTTTTCTCCACATCCTTTCCAGCATTTATTTTCTTAGACAGTTGTGCTTTTGTTTTCAGTGATAAATTTAGTCTGTATCTAAAAGTTTTTTATTATGTAATATGACTTGATTATTCTTATTCTGCTTTATGAGCCTTTTAATTTCTTAGTGTTTTTGCTTCCTTTCTTTTTAGCAACAGCTGTCTCAATGTCTTCCATTGTAAAATCTCATTCCTCACCCCCAAACACTATTATTGAGAGTATAAACTGGAACAAACTTAACTTTACAAACATCGGAAGCAATCTAAATGTTCGTAAAATTGATAGTGTGATGTTCCATTTAATGACCTGGATGGATGTCCATGATATATTAAATGAAATAGGCTGTTTAAACATTTCACTACAGAAAAAAAAAAAAAAAAATTCTAAAAGCATTGAACCTAAAATGTATGAGCTTATTTTAGGGTGAGATTTATTATGGGTAAGTTTAATTTAAGTGAAGTTTTTGTTGAGGTATAACATAAATGTGCACAAATGACTGGACAGCTTAATGAATTTTCACAATGTGAAAGGCTCCTGAAGCTCTGATAATGTTTGATGTCCTGGTCTGAGGCTTTATGTAAACATTATCAGAGCTTCAGAAGCCTGTCATCACACCTACGTGGTCACTATCCACTCCCATGAGGTGTGACCACTCTGCTGACTTCCACTGTAGGTCAGGGTAGCTGTATTTGAACTTTATGTAAATGGAATCAGACAGAACATACTCATTGGTATCTGGCTTCTTTTTGCTCATCTTGTGAGATTCATCCATGTTGTATGAAGCAGTAACTCGTTCATTCTCATTGCAGTCCATTGTGTGAATATACCACAATATATTGATCTATTCAACTGTTAATAGACATTTGGGTTGTTTCCAGTTTGAGGCTATTACAAAGAGTGCTGCTGTGAACATTCTAGTATGTGTCATTTAATGAACACTTATGTGCATTTCTCCTGGTTATATACCTATGAGTGGAATTTGGGGGTCATAGGTATATGTTTGTTGAGCTTTAGTAGCTACTGCCAAACAGTGCTCCAGAGTGGTTGAACCATTAATTATTCCCACCTAGTTAGTGTTTGGAAGTTTCACTTGCTGCATATCCTTGCCAAAGATTAGTATTCATTTAAAGCCATTCTGGTGGGTGAGTTAGTAGTCTGTCGTTGCGGTTTTAATTTCTATTTCTTTGATATAGGTTTAGTTTGTTTTCGTGTGTTTATTGTTCCTATGGACAGATCTTTGGTGAAGTTTCTGCTGCTGCTTTTGCCTGATTTTCTGTTGGGTTCTCTCTTATTTTTTTCCTGACTGATTGGTAAGAGTTTTTTATAGTCATTTTGCATATGCTTCCTTCCTTCCTCTCTCTCTCTTTGGAATTTTAGCATAGCAGGTATTTATCACAAGAAAAAACATAAAACTATTATCATTTTGAAAAAATAAATGCCCCTTTCTTGATCTGCTTTACCTCTCTTTCCCGTTACCTTCAATTTCTTGCTTTCTGAAGGAGTGTTCTGAAATCCCACTCTCCCCTTCCTCTCCAGCAGCTCACTCTTTCACCTCCACATTTGAGTCAAAAGGGTCTCTCAGTTGATATAATCAGTGGTGTCCAGGGCCCCTTACTCCAGTCTTCTCATCCCTCCGTCTCTCTCTGACTCTTGATACCACTGGCTACACCCAGCCTTTGCAGCTTTCTTCTCACTTGGCTTCCTGATGACAATGGAGCTCCCTAGTTCTCTCACGTCTTCCTCCTCCTTGGTTTTCTGTGCTTGCTTGTCTTAACCCTTAAGTTGGCATTTCTCCTGTATGTCTCTGGAGCTCTTTTCTCTGCAGTGCCCTCAGTTAGCTTTGTCAAGAAGCCTTTTCCACGTGCTGGAGGTCACACCCTCTGGCCGTGCTCTCTGAAGCCTTGATCTCTGAAGCCTTCTATCATTCCCAGCTACCTGCTGGATACCAGCCACTTGAATATCACTTCCTCCATCACCACCATCACCTTCCTCCTCAAACCAGCTTTGCTTCCAGCGGTCATATCTGTCAGTGAAGCTGGCTGTACCACCAGGTAACCTAGACATGAAACAGTGGCCATCCCTGCCTTCTTCCTTTGGACGCACCACCAGTCTGCTGCTAAATCCTGTTGATTCAACTTCTGTTGTAGCTCTCGTGTAGTACTAACACAGGTAGCAACAGTAATAATGGCTAACAGTGATTGAGTGCCTCTATGTGCCGGCCACTAGGGCTCAATGCTTTGCATGTTACTGGGCTTAATCCTATAACGGCCTTTGGAGAGAGTATGGTTATCTTCATTTTGCAGATGAGGAAATTGAGGCACAGAGAGGTTAGGTAATTTGCTCAAGGCAACTCAGCTGTCATTTAGAAGCAGTGATTAGCATCTGACTCCAGGCTTTGCTTCTTTGCTGTACTTGATTATTTGTAGTTCTCCTTCCTATTCCCCCTTCCTTCTCGATTACATCTTGCCCAAATGGCATTTCTTTCCCAACTTGCTTTTCTGCCTATTCTAGTCTAACCTTCAGAAAATCAGGTATGCCTTCTCCAGATCTAACTCTATTTACATCCGTCCTTGCTTTACTTTCAGTGCCTAATTTGGAAGCCAGTGATAGAGAAAATTCTTCAGTTGGCCTTTACAGACTAAAGTTTGGTCTCAGGTTCGCTTTCTATTTGACCGAGGTTCCTCTGTGCTTTTTGTCATACCCTTGCTGAACCTGCTGTGTGCCCCTCAGTTCTGCCTTTTGCTGACCTCCTCCTCCACTCTTCAAGACCCAACTCAGGTGCTTTCCCTTGTGTGAGACCCTTCCTGGGCTGCCTCTGCCAGCTCTGTGTGAGCCTCCATAGCAATTTCTAACCTCCCTTACTACTACTGTTACTGATTCTCACCAGTTACTTCTTTGACACTCGCCAACTCAGGTGCTTTCCCTTGTGTGAGACCCTTCCTGGGCTGCCTCTGCCAGCTCTGTGTGAGCCTCCATATCAATTTCTAACCTCCCTTACTACTACTGTTACTGATTCTCACCAGTTACTTCTTTGACACTCTTGGAAACTCGAGCATAATCTTCTGTGTCAGGCATGGAAACTTGGGCATAATCTTCTATATCAGGCATTTTATTGATTACTTTTACAGTTAACACAATAAAGGGAATTTAGGTACATCAATAAGAACCACAGATAATAATAAATCCCAAACTTTAAGGGGTAAAGAGAATGTGCTAGTTTCTCAGGGCTGTTGTAACAAAGTACTACAAATTCAGTGACTTAAAACAACAGAAAATTATTCTGTCACAAATGAGGCTAGAAATCTGAGATCAAGGTATTGACTGGGCCATGCTCCCTCTGAAGGTGATGGTGAAGGACCCTTCCTTGCCTCTTCCAGCTTCTGGTAGTTTCCAGCAATCCTTAGCATTACTGAGCTTATAGATGCTTTACTCTGATCTCTGCTGTGTTGTCATGTGACATTCTCCAGTGTCTGTCTTCATGTGGCCGTCTTCCCTCTGTGTCTTTGTTTTCTTATAAGGACACTATTCATATTGAATGAAGGGCCCTGCTTTACATGTCATCTTAACTGACATTTGCAGTGACTCTATTTTAAAATAAAGTCACTGTATTAATATTCTGATGCTTTGATATTTAGGGTCTCACTGACCCTGGGAGACTGCCCCTCCCAGCGCTAGCCAGTTCCTAGAGACAGTAAACCCTAGCACGCTTTGCATATGTGAACTATCCAGTTCAAAGTCCACTACCCCTGGCCCCCACTCTTACACTTCAGGTCAATATTCTCCTGCCCCAGTCATGCCAGGGCCAGGTACCAGACAACTTGGGACAGCCCTTGTGTCCCAGAGCCCTTTGAAATTATTCAGACTAGTCAATACAAAGCCTGCTTACCTGCCTCGCCTGTTCCTTCCTGTGGAAACCATGGCAAAGGCTCTTGCCCACAGTTTCTCCTCTCTGCCTCCTGACCGACCCTGGGGCTTCCCCGTGTGGCCCTGCATGGTGTGCAGTGCCTTCCGTTTCTAGGGCTCTGTGAGTATCAACTTTGCCTCCCTGACAGTCGTTTGCACGTCGTACCATACCTGATTAAAATAAATCCCAGGCACAGTTTCAAGCAGTTCTGAGATACTAAGGGTTAGAACTTTAACACCTCTTTTTGGAAAACACAGTTCAGCCCATTACAGGGAATAACCTGTTTGCTGATACTTGGCTTGTATTCCGTCAAGGGCAGTGCAGTGACTGGGTTCCATCAGTAAACAATGACCTGACCTGAAGTGCAGCATGTCAGAAGAAGCTGCAGCCACCAGCTGTTCCTAAATATGAGCCTAGGGGAAGGCACCACCTGCAGCCATACTGAGCTTACCTCACACGGGAGGCAGGAGAAGATTAATAATGGGGAGAGAGATTTTTTCCTTTAAAAGGTGGCAAAATATGTTTAAATGCTGATCTTGAACAATTGAGCTATCGTAATAGTTGGTTTTGGAGAATATGTTTGATTCTTAGTATTAACTGTTTTTTTTTCCTCTTTTCTTTCTTTTTTTTAAAGAAAGTGGCAGCCCAGAATCTCGTGTTAATGCTATCCATTTCTTGGTACACAAACTGCCAGAGAAGAATAAAGAAATGTTGGATATTTTGGTGAAACACTTAACAAAGTAAGCCTCTTTTATTTCCTTTAAAATTTTTTTTGCTTTGCTCTAGGTGCTGTGCAGTATTCTTGGATTTGTAATGGTTGGAACTGGGGCTGTATACACAATACCAGGGACCAGACCTGGAAGGGCAGGCCGGACGTTTGACTCACTGTGTATGTTTTGGACAAGAGTGTTGAAATATGATGCTTTCATGAGTAGTATAATTATTTGTTTAATGTCACTGCCAGCAACTCAGGGTTTGATATGAATTGAAAGAAGAGAATACTATACATCGTACCATTCACAGATTCTGGAAATGTGATTATAAGTCTGTTAGCAAATTTAGCTTGGTTTTACAACTACCTAACTCTAAGTTTGTTGAATTCAGTAATGGGTAGTTATTTCAGAGGATCCATTCTTTTTTCCCTCCTCCTTTAAAAAGCAAGGAAAGTCTAATAATTCAGTGCAGAAATTAGCCATTTCTTCAAATATAAATGACTCTCAGATCACCGTCATTAGAATTTTAGAGGTAAGAGGGAGCTCAGGAACGCTGTTTTAGACCCTTTATTTTACATAAGAAGAAACTGAAGGTGAGAGGATACTGTGACTTGCCAAAGATTTTACTAATAATGTAGCCATTCATTCATTTGGTCAACAGATATTTAGCACCTTTTTTAGGTGCTAGTGGATACATAGTTGAATAAGATCCTACTTTCATGAAGCTTTCTTAGGGGGAAAAGATTATAAACAAATTACAAATAAAAATGTAAAATAGTTTAGATGATAAGTGGCAAACAAAAAGAGTAAGGGATTAGAGAATATATGTTTATAGTGTGGGAATATAAAGACGGTTATTGTGGAAGGTCCCTTTGAGGATGAGATCTTTGAGTTGAGACTTGAGTTAAGTGGCAGGGCTGCTGAGAACAGATGTCCAGATTGTTCACTGCACAATGGTACTGGGCCAAAGGAGTGAGTGTGGGTGCTCTGACCAAACTCTTCATGCTTGTAAAGCTAATTTTTACTAAGGTGCCATGCAATCTAATAGTCCCTGGACGCAAGGATCTTATGGTCTGGGGAAATAAGGGGTGTTCCAAGTAGAGGGGAACAGTAAATAAAGGCTTTTAGGGGAAACAAGCTTAGTATATACGTGGAATTATTAAGAAGACCATTGTGGCTAGAGTAGAGCATCAAAGAGAGAGAGGGAAAAGAGTAGGAAGGGGCTTTAGCATTAGGGTCTTGTTGGATCCAGTTATTTCAGAGACAGACCTAGAGGGCAGTTGAGTCTCTTGCCTCTGTTTTTAAGGAAATATACAGAGTTGAAGAATACTGTATGTTCCACAATTATTGCCCCTCCGGTTAAACATAGATTTTTCTTTTTCCTCATCAATATTAGTGTTTCAGATCACTCCAAGCAGAACCTAATGACCGTGGCCAATTTAGGAGTGGTGTTTGGACCAACTCTGATGAGGCCACAGGAAGAAACTGTTGCTGCCATCATGGATTTGAAGTTTCAGAATATTGTTGTGGAAATCTTAATTGAAAACCATGAAAAGGTAAAATCGTGTTTTTTTTGTTTTGTTTTGTTTTTACCTTAAGAGATCTTATATTTTTGGCTTGTCACCATGTAATGCACAACTATTCTTTTAGATTTCCCTTGTCTCTCTTTAAAAAAAAAAAAAAAAAAAAAAAAAATATATATAAAATCACTATTATAAGCTTGGTTTGAAGTATTCATTGAGCTCTGTCTTCTGATGGAGTTCCATAAATCTTACTCTTTTCTGGCCTATTATCTCATTGGTTTAATGAAGAATCATTTAATCCAGATGCAAATGAGTATTGGCAATGTAATTGTGAACTGTTTAAGTTTTTTTTTGTTGCTTTCATTCCTTTCCTTGGATTTCTCACTCAAATTCTGTGTATCACCACAGTCCTTGTACTCTTGATCAAGTTAGAGCTTGGCAACTTAGGAAAAAGAGAAAATAAGGCAGATAAATTTGAAAGGAAATGGTATGGAGCCAGAAGGCCATGAGCATCTCTGTGAGGGTTGAGGGCAGGGTCCCTCTGAGGCCTGCTGGCGAAGGCTAGCCTATGTTTGCACCCCACTTGTAAAGGTTGCCCAGCCTTGCAAAGGGTTTTCCTGGTTGCACCCGGCCGTTATGAATGGCAAGTAAAGGAGGAGAAGTCAAGGAAGGGTAAACTCAAACAGGTTCAGGCAGCATGTCTGAGCAGGGGGTGGGAGGAGGGCACACATCTCTGGGGTCTGGTGGATGAGATTGAGCTCGGTTTGAATTAGGAGATTTATATAAGGGGTGAGTATAAACTTTTTTAATATACTGTTCCCTGGCCAGCTGCCAAACAAAAAACAAAAAAACCCCCAACAAACCCCCATACCTGCCATAAATAAATAAATAAATTAATTAATTAATTAAATAAAGCTCATTGTAATGAGTTAATTGAAAAAAATAAAAGGGACTGGCTGATTAGCTCAGCTGGTTAGAGTGCTGCTTTATAACACCAAGGTGGCAGGTTTGGATCCCCTTACTGCCAGCTGCCAAAAAAAAAGATATATACACATACACAACACACACACACACACACACACACACACACACACTCTCTCTCTCTCTCTCTCTCTCTCTCTCTCTATATATATATATATATATAAAATATACATTTTATATATATACACACATATTTAAAAGTTGAGTGGGTATGGCGGGAAGGAATTATATATGTATATACTATATATAGTATATAGATCATATTTACAATATATTATTATATATCATATATACTATATATATCGTTATTATAATACACACACACACACACAAATTCCCTCCCACCATACCCACTCAACATTTCAAATTTTAGAAGTAAGTAGTATTTGGTGTTGTTACCTTGTGATCTCTTTCCAAAATTACTGTTATTTTCTCCTCAATTACGTATTGTCTATGACTACTGTGAATACAACAACAGAGTTGAGTAGTTACAACAGAGACCAGATAGCCCACAAAGCAAAAATATGTACTGTCTGGCTTGCTGATCCTTGCTCTAGACCAATAATTTTGAACCTTGGAAAACCATCAAAATCACCTGAGGGACTCTTTTGCAAGGCTGTGTAGCCACATGTATTCTGTTAAATTTTTCCTTCCTAAGATCTGTGATAAGCAGCCACTAGGGAGAACCTCTGATCTAAGAAGTAAGTGTCTTCTCTGTCTCAAGAACTTAAGAGAGAACTTTAATCTGGAACATGGGAGAAGTTTCCATTCATATTTTAGAGGTTTTTGTTCATAACAGTTAAAACAAGACCTGAGTAAGACTTTTGTTAGTGTTAGGTCTGACCCTTGGCAGTCTGTGTTTGAAGGAGTAGGTGTCCATTCAAGTTTAGCTGGTCTTCGTGTATAAGTGGGGCTGAAGATGGTTTTTGGAGGGCATGTGGAAAAATGGTTTCAAGATGCTCCTGCAGCGATTTGCTCAAAAGGACTGCCTCGTTTGCTGCCTCTCTCCCACTCACTCAACCTTCAAAATAAAGCTTCCACCTATTAAGAAAGACAAAAGCGTTTACTCGGGATTAAAAGTACATTTTCACTATTAACAAAGGCATAATAATTTTTAAAGAAACATTTATTCTTTAGGGCAATGCTTTTTAATCTTTTTGGCATCTAGACCTCTGAGAGGCTGATAAAAGTACTAACCCTTTCCCCAAATAAATGCACACAGCTCCCTATCTCCCTACAGTGTTAACAATTTCAGGGGGTTCACATGTGTTCCTGAATCCTCAGATTCTAGGTTAACTATCTCCTGTTTAAAATGAATAATCTCCTAAGTGACCTGTCTTGTTACTTGTTTCTCTATAATCAAGGGAATACATGATTTTTCAAAATACATTAGACTCTTTTAAGAACTTTTAGTTTTTTTCCCCCTCATTCTGTCAACTACAGATCGGCACTTTGCTAATATCTTTCCTTATTTCTGCCTCTAAGAGAGGGACTTTGAGAACTGTTAAAATGATTGGTCACTCATTTGTTTATTAAAAGGAATTTTAAAAATTGAGATTGGATTACATGTTGAGCATGTGGTAGGTGCGGGGATGTGGAGGTGAGTGTTACAGCACTCGTTGGAAAGCAGGTCACAACTAGCAGGGAGAAGCCGTGTTTTGGGACTTGCATCCCATAACACTTATCCTTGGCTAACATACTGTGTAACTTATTTTTCTTAGTTGTCTATTTCTCCCAGCTAGGTCTTTGAGGGCAGAGATCTATTGGTACACTTAAAATAATACTTGGTGCATATTAGGTGCTCAGTTAATATTTATTGAATGAATTAATGAATTCAATACATTTTGAGGGGGTTGGAGAAGTAGGAAAGAGACAGGCAAACAGAGGTGTAGTCCCTTTGAGCAAAACATTGCAGGAGCATTTCCTGGGTCCTTGTTGCACTTACTAGAGCAGTTCTAGCTTGTGTGAATGTTGGTTACTGCTGAAAAGTTAAGCTTGAAAGCTGGTTGGGGATTTTCTTTACCAGTATGGTAAAAACAGCTTGTTTATGAGTGTAAGAATTTTTTTTTTTTTAAAGCCAGTGATGGAGAATTTATGCCTCTCTTTATGGTCCTGTCAAACTGTCATTAAACCTCATTAGTGTGCACTAAGCCTTGCAGAGAGGTTTGGGGGAAGTAAAGATAGTGAGTCCAGTAGGGGAAAGAAGAAATGTCCAAAAGTAGCTAAAAGATATGGTGGAGAATCAGAGCTCTCAGAGAGAGAGAGAGAGAGAGAGAGAAAGAGAGAGAGAAAGCAAGCTGAGACTTCAGAGGAGAGTTAAGGTCTGACTGTGGGGAATCTGGAAAGTTTCCTGAGTAGGTGGTTGGAATCAGTTTTAGAATGGAGTTTGAACAGGTAGAGATGTTTTTTTTTTTTTTTCTTTTTTACTGACCGGTAACGGGATCGCAACCCTCGGTGTCGCGCCCGTACCGGGGACCGGCAACGGGATCGCAACCCTCGGTGTCGCGCCCGTACCGGGGACCGGCAACGGGATCGCAACCCTCGGTGTCGCGCCCGTACCGGGGACCGGCAACGGGATCGCAACCCTCGGTGTCGCGCCCGTACCGGGGACCGGCAACGGGATCGCAACCCTCGGTGTCGCGCCCGTACCGGGGACCGGCAACGGGATCGCAACCCTCGGTGTCGCGCCCGTACCGGGGACCGGCAACGGGATCGCAACCCTCGGTGTCGCGCCCGTACCGGGGACTGGCAATGGGATCGCAACCCTCAGTGTTGCGCCCGCACCTCGCTCAGCCAGTGAGCGGGAACCGGTCTCCACATGGGATCCGAACCCTCGGCGGGAGCGCTGCCACGCTCCCAAGCGGCGCACTCTACAGTGCGCCACTGGGCCGGCCCGGTAGAGATGTTTTAAGAGGACATTTCAGGTATAGGATATCATGGAATCAGAAACAGAGAGGAGGTTTGTGTTCTGGGGATGAAGCTCTCATTGAAACATAGGCGGATGGCATGAGATCAGATTGGAAAGAGATTCTGCCAGGTGTGGGGAGGTTGAGAATGCCACTTTGGGACGTTCAGTTTAATTTTATAGGTACCAGGATCGTTCATGGTTTTCAAGTACACTGCTTTAGAAAGTTTAATCTGACAGCAGGGTTTGCAATGGAAAGCAAAGGAAAAAAAAACCAGGCATAGATTAAGAACAGGACAGTGAAAATGGGGACTTCTAGGGTGGAAAGCATTGTTTTGTTAGGTGGAATAGACAAAATCCAGGGACTGGATCTGTGGGGGATCTTAAAGGAAGGTGTTAGAAGGATTCAATCCTGGGAGAATATTGGTGTCATGAATAAAAGGAAGGAAAAAAAGGGGTCAGGGTAAGAGTAAGAGGAATTCAGTTTGTAACATGGTGATCTTTAGTTGTTGCCTGGATGTCAGGCAAGATAAGTCCAGTAGACAGCAGGAGATGTGGTAGTCAAGCTTGTGAGAGGATGTAGGGTGAGAAAGCAAAATATCGGGTATAGTTAAAGGCATGAAAAAGTATTTATTGGAGGTTCATGGTGTTACACGCTTCTGGTCTTCTATATTGTGTATTTACCTCATATAACCCTAGTGTGTGGAAGTTTGTGTGTGTATATATACATTTAAAATACATATTAAAAACACATCAAATCCCCATTTCATAAATATATGTATATAGGTACAAAGTTCTTACTATATATATTATCCCTTTAGGAGAAAACTGAGGGATGAGAGATTAACTTGCTCATGAGCACACAGCTAGTAAATGGTAATTCTGGGGATTTAACAGAGACTGACCCCAAAGCCTTTGCTTTCCATCACTAGGAGAAGATAACAATATCCTTGAGAAACACCAAGATTTTATTATTAGTGATAAAAGAGGAGCCAGAAGAAACCCAGCATTTGTGTGGGTTGTCTGGGGTTTTAAAAATTTTGTTTTGTTTTTTAATTTGCCTAAAAATATTTTTACTTTGCTTTTACATTTGAAAGACCGTTTGCAGGGCATAGAATTCTAGGATGACAGTTCTTTTCTTTTAATG